TTTTATATATTTTTCATATGCACATATGTGATATATACATATTTTATATATATACATTTGTTTACCGTTTAATTTTTGCTGTTTTTAACTCAAGTAAGTTTTTTAATTGGAGCTGCTCCAGCGCTGAAGCAAATCTAACTTGAGCTTTAGTATGTTTCATATATAAATAAATTGGTGATGATTTATCAGGTAATAAGCCATCATAGATAGCAGAACATTTTTTTAATGAAATATTTAAATTAAATAACAAATTCTCATATAGGCAAAATATTTATTTGTCTATATATTTCATCAAATATTTACATGCCCTACTAATCTAAACAATATGATAGGGGCCTGACGTGTCTGGTTTTAATATACCAAAGAATTCCAGATATACTTCCCAACAAATGTAAAAGGTATAAAGCCTTAGGCTTATTTTATCTGAACGAATTTGTTGCTCTCTTTGCTTTCCTTTTCTATTGATGGCTTCATGGCGAAGTATCGATAACAGAATAGTTAATTATCGATAGTTGACTATAATGTACCCCTGATTCCCATTGGCCTACTACAAAAATTAGCGAATTCTACTTTACGAATGATTAGAAAATAAAAGAAAGAAGCACGGAAGGGTCTGTAGAGCCTGTAAAGCATCTCATCTCTCGTGAGAGCGTACATGAATATGGCAAAAGTGAATATACATTAATTAATATACACTATCTATTCTTAATTCTCATTAAAATCATGCATATATGTAAGTAAGTATATGATTCTCATAATATTACCTTCTTATCTCTGGGATATTGACCTCTATTCTAAAGGCCCCCACCACATCTGCGCCTATCACACTTCACACTGCTCTGTGCATAAATACATATGTATTTAATAGATTGCTGTGATTTCATTCATTCTATCTATATTCCGAATTTAACAAATGTTTCCTAATTGATGACCTAATTAAAGCAATATAACCTTAACTGACATGTAAGTAAATATTATATTTGTTTGATATATTCAATGAATAGATACATGTATATAGATATTTCGTCTTTTGTTTCAATTGATTTGGTTAAAGCTGCGAATGTTTCACATAAATAATTTGGTGGGCAAACAATCGCCTTGTGGATCGGATATGAGATCGTATGCATAGAGGGTGCGTGCATTGTTTGTTTACAGTTACACGCAGCTATGTATTGTTGGGTGTGTGGCTGCGTGTGTGTGTGCGTGTGTGTGTGTGCGTGGATGCGTCTGGCCACTTTGCTTATTCATAATCCGCGACAGGCCTTGTTGACACCTTCACCTATACACAAAGGCATAACGACAAACACACACACATACCAGCACACACACTCACTCCCACATATTTGTGTGCACATATGTGTTGTATACAAACAACAAGGCCTCAGCGAGGGTAACCAAAACAGTCCTATCGAGGGCTGTTAAAAAGTTATCTAACTTTCATACTCTGCCAATACCAATCAGAGCGCAAATAAACATTGGTGTGAGTGTAGGGCGTGCCAGACTAGTAGATATCCTATATATTGTATATATTGATGTGCTAAATCTGACTTGTTCTCCAATATTAAAAATCTAAATTGCCCGTTGGCTGTAGTCTCCTTAATTGGTGTTCGATTTTCAAGGATTTTCAAGGACTTCATGTGAATGAATCTGCTCCTGAATCAGGAGGAGGACATAGAAATTATATTAGTGAACACATTTTTCAAAATTTTTTTATTGGCGCAATGACTACATTATGTACAACCCTCGAGCACACACACTCACACACACACACACACACACACATATATATATACGTATGAATATGTGTATTTTAACCTGGCCATAAGCTAAATGCTGGCCATATTGTTGTTTTTGCTGTTGCTGCTTCCTGCGCTCTGCTGTGCTGGTTTCTTTTGGCGCTTTGTTTGCTGCCTCAACCGCCAACGCACTGTCGTCCGCCCCCTCCCCCGCTGTGGCTGTGGCTGTGTACGCTCAGATCGGAGCATTTGTCCCCAGTATCTCTGTTTGCTTTGCTGCAACTGTTGTCGTATTTTTATTGTCGACCTTAAGCAGATAATCAAAAGTAAATAAAAGCGTGTTTCATTGTCGGCGCTCACTAAAGTGTGCCCGGGCAACATAGTAAATAGATTTTTGGCAGCCACTGTCAATTGTTTATGTCCAACTTGGCATTAGCCAAGCAGCAGCAGCAGAGGCCCACGCTGTAATTTCAAGTGTGCCTCTTAAAGTATTTACATTAAAAATTAATCACTCAACAAAATGCCTCCGGGGACAGTTTATGAGAGTTTTATCTCCAAATCGAATTAGGAAAAACACAGTTATCTACTTAAATAATCAAGCTCTTTTCGGCTCCCTGCGCGCTGCTACCCTCAATTAAGCTACTCTATTATTCTATACAATGTGTGCCTCTCTGCGTGTGTGTGTGTGTGTGTGTGTATTAGTCTGTCTGAATGCGAGGCGGGTGTGTGTGTGTGTGTGTTTATTAAGATTACTTT